TTATTATTACTATTAATAATAATAATAATAATAATAGTAATAATAATAATAATAATGATAATGATAATTAGTACCAGTTATTTCAATTAAAATAGGTTGTTTACACCTAGAGCCACAGTGTCACAGCTTGGCCTAATACATCACATGCCATAAATATTTGACACAAATAAAATGTATTTATTTAGAACCAAGTAGGCTACAATATTTCTGAATTAAGTATACAATTCACAAGACTAGTAAAATGAATGACCATACACCCATCTTCAAAATGTGTACCTTAAAATGTAAAAGTTTAAAAGTTTTATTTTAGAAAAAAATCGGACATGAAACAGCCAGCAACAGCTTTTATTGTTTTGTGGTCAATAAAGTAATACACAAGTCCTCGGACTCCAGAGCTCTGTTTCTCACTGATGAGACAAAATGGAAGAAAATAGCAAGTATATAGCAAGCCAAAAGATTAACAGTGACAATAATAGAACAGTTAAGTTTCCCCACATAGAATAGCCTACTGACCATAAATCGATAACATAATTGACAAAGAATCAGATCAATAAGTGGAATCAATAATGGCATTGGTATTAACAAACTTTCTATCAGATTCAGATTTGTTTTATTGTCATTGTAACAAGTACAACGAAACGTAAGGTGCAGTTCTTTCAGTGCAAAAATAAAAAAATGCAAAAACATAAGAACTTCAGTAAATACAATATAAATTATATATATATAAACAAGCAACAAGAAATGAATCTATATAAAAAGATGAAATTAAACAATGAGCACGGTGCATATTGCACAGAGTGGATATTGGGCAGAGGTAGTGGAGTTGTATATTGTAGAGTGGAGTTGTATATTGCAATATCTGTAGTTGAACTTACCTCCATATTTAACAACAGATTTCTGGTGGCCTTGTAAGTGGGAAATTAGGGCATGGTATGGTCCTGCCTAGTGGCACATCGGGCACTGAAAAGTGTCCACTCCCAATTTACAGAGCTCTGGGCATGTGCCCTCCCTAAATGTTGTGAGGTCTATAGGAGAATAAAATACTATTAAAAAACTCATAGGCGTACTTCCTCACTTTATACATTTTATTCTGAAAAGAAATAAAAGGAACTGTAAACTACACTTCAATCAAACTTAATCAACACACATATCACCGAAACTATTCTTTGAATATATTTTTGCTAAAGGAAAAAAATTTTTTTTTAAAAAAGCTTGATATATTGAGTTAAATGAAAATACAAATATTCTGAGTATATGTGCCGTGTTCCCCCGCTGCTTCTGTTATCATCCCTTGCTCACTCATTAGTCTGACTTTCATATAGTCTAACACATGTAAAAGCCGACACACTGACATTTTCAGGGTATTGAGTTTGAAGAAATAGTTTATTTGAAAAAAAGTAATTAATGCTCTTTCTGCAGAGCAAAATGTCTCAAACGTTAACATTAAATTAAACGTCAATATCTTCCCAAAATGTAAACGACCTACGTGCTGCTGTCAACTGCAGTCGGTTGGGAATGTACAGTTAAAATGACATTAAGTGTTAATTTAATGACATTAAATGTTAACTTAGAAATACACATTGACATCTTCTTCTTCTTCTTCCTGGTTTATTGGCGCGCATTGCCTTCTTCTTCTTCTTCTTCTTCTTCTTCTTCTTCTTCTAATGCTCTGGCGCGCATTGCCTTCTTCTTCTTCTTCTACTGCTTCTCTACCTGCGCGCCACCACACCAACAGCAGGCGGGGGCATGGTGTGTAAGGGGCCAGGGGGCGTGTTGTGTAGGGGAC